ACATATGACCGTCCACAGAAGGTGTGAGGAAAATAAGGAGGAAATGAGGAATGGAAAATGGACAGGCCATTTAAGATTATGACATTTATAACGTTTTTTTTTCATAATATTATGACTTTTTTTTCTCGTAAAATTAAGACTTCATCTCATAAAATTATGATTTTAATCTTGTAATATTATGACTATTGTCGTAATAATAAAAAAAATCTTTGTGTGGTCCGTCGTACATACTGAAGCTGAACCTAAATTATTAATTTTTTAATCTTGTAATATTATGACTTTATCCTCGTAAAATTACAATTTTAATCCCATAATATTATGACTTTATTCAAATAAATTATGACTTTATTGTCATAATAATAATAATTTAAAAAAATCTCATTGTGTGACCCTAAYACTCCGTCGTACCTAAGAATCCCTTCCTTATAATAATAAAATAACATTTTTGTCTTGGTTTAGGGTTAAATAACAAATAATTGTACATTGGTCAGTGTTTTTATGAGTTGAGTAGGAAAATGGCACTAATTTATTACTTTATGATTAATTACCCCACACTTAAATTCAAGAGGTTGCTGTTGCAGTTCAAAGTCACGTTGGTATAAAAAATATTGTTGACGGTATTAAAAACGGAATAAATTTAACAAGAATGTCTGTAAATACCCTGTAAAAAGGTCTCACAAAAACAGACATTGTCTGTATTTAATACTCTRTTTTAGTTCTGTTCCATTTGACAACATGTATTGTGAACAGAATTTGTTAAAGAAAAAGCAATGAAAAAATAAAAGAGATGAAGAAAAAAATCAATGACAGCTTTTAACCTTCTTCTATACAAAATGGCTTGTTAATGGCATGCCTTCAAACAAATCAATACAAAGATCTATTTTGTTGTGTAATTTTATTTGACTCTTTTTCAAATAGCATTCATTCCATTAACAATATTTTCCAGCAGGTGGCTCTGCTCTGCCATGTTTGTCCTCTGCTGAAAACTGTGGTTCACAAACTCTCAGGGAAAGTGTCCATAATGACTATTATTTTATGTCAAAATATTAAAGATGAACTTGACTGAACAAAGTTCCCAATTTATGGCACGATTTTGGGTTCGCAAAACAGTAAAATATCTTTGGTAAAAATATAATGCGTTTTAATCACAGAAGTAATCAAAGCCAAGCATCAATTAAACCCTAAAGCCAGTTGGAAAATCAACATATTTTTGGATGACTGTGGGGTCCCAGTGCAGGGATAAATGTCTCACTTGTGAGGTGAGTGGTCCCATTGTTTGGATGTAAGCAGCCTCAAACAAATAYGCAGGCTGGGTGCTAATCTAACAGAATATGCAAAGCTGTACACAGTCAACAGAGAGGTTGGATAAAGGGGCTGGATAAAAAAGTGGTTGGAACTCAGTCATTAGAGAAAATGCCCGAAGACGAATACAAAGCATTTGGAGCGGCTGCTTTAAGGGGACCAGTGGTTGATTAATTATATTAGGGATGAATAATCGAGAAGGAGAGGCCGACAGATGGAGCTTGTGATCCCAACCAGAAARCCAAATAAATGAACACTTGACTAGGTAGATCCTTTATTAAGGAGTCTGGTGGCTTGATGGGATAATTTGATTTTTCTGGAGAAAAACAAGTTTCTGGACTTGGTTAATCTCATCAGAGCGGATCTACGTTTGGACAGAAGGGGACCTGCTCTCACTGAGTCCAGGTAAGAACCGCCGGTTGGCTTGTTTTGTACCTAATTTAAATTAACACTAATCTTTTGTTTGTTTGCTTGTTAGAATTTCTGTGAAATAGGCAAATTGTTTTAAAATGCATGTTTCCTTTAAAAAATCTTCTAACAAGTTTAACTTTCACAAAATTGTAGAAGCGTAAAATTAACTTAAATAAATTTGTTTACGAATTCAGTGTTACACAACACCTTTGGCAACACAGTTTTTAGATTTAGTCAGACTTGAATACTTTTTTTTTCATGAAAAACTCGGTATGAATCTTTAAACATCATTTTTTGTGCAATTCTTTAACAAGGTTGTGATGCAGAAAATAGCACACAGAACATTTTGCTTTCAAACGACTGACATCTGTTTGACTTCTTTAATAGCCGACGATGCAAATTAAAATTTGTTTCTGACCGTCTAAGTAAACGAAATTTCTTTTGCAGCATTTAAACAGAAGTCTGAAGTGAAGCAATGGCAGCGACAAGCCCTCCAAAAGGATGTGGGTCCAACATCAGCTCCATATATTACAACCTGTGTGACCTGACCACGGTGTGGGGGGTCGTGTTGGAGACTATTGCTGCTGCGGGCGTGATGACCTCCTTCGTCCTGTTTATCATTCTCATGGCCTCCTTACCATTTGTGACGGACAAGAAAAGAAAGGGYATGGTGGCTCTACAGGCCAGTGTTTTAGTCTTTACGTTGGGACTCTTTGGGCTTACGTTTGCCTTCATTGTGGGTCGGTACTCTACAAGCTGTGCCGCTCGGARGTTCTTGTTTGGAGTAATGTTTTCTGGCTGCCTGGCCTGTTTGGTGATGCATGGACTGTGGCTTTCCCTGTTGAAGCGGAGCACCCGTGGACCCAGAAGTTGGATGTTGTGGCTGGGAGCTCTGGGTCTCTGGCTCGTTGAGGTGATCATCAACACTGAATGGCTCGTCCTCACCRTCAGAAGCCCATCTGGAGGAAGTGTTACCCCATATCTCCTCTGCAGCACTGCCAATGAGGACTTTGTAATGGCTCTCATTTATGTGGGGATTCTGACCCTTGCGGTGGTTKTTACGGTTTCTCCATCGCTTACACACAAGCACAAGCAATGGCGCAGAGATGGCATTTTCATCCTGGTCACGGGGCTCTTTACCATCGCCATCTGGGTGGTTTGGATTTTCATGTACGTCCGTGGAAACCAAGTGATTGGAAATCCCAGCTGGGACGATCCTACTTTGGCTGTCGCTGTTGTGTCGAATGCTTGGGTCTTCCTTGGCTTCTATACAATTCCAGAAATTTGCCTACTGACACAAGTGAACCCAGACCAGGAGCAACCTTTTGATGTGGAGGATGTCTATCCTGCAAGGAGYCTGGTGTATGACAACACAGTGAAGGAGCCAGAGCCAACACAGGAGAATCTTTATGTAGAGAATAAAGCTTTCACCATGGAAGAGCCCCGGTCAGGTACAGTGTAGAACACAGAGTGGTTTACAGCATTACTCTTTCATTGTAGCAAATACGAGAAAATGATTGAAAGTTTGGTCTTTTTCTTGTTTTGGTCTTTTTCTTGTTTTGATAAACAGCATCAAGTCGAGACATTAGCTATTCGTCTGATTCTAGGATGAATCTGGATATTAATATTTATTAGGATTTCATTGTTATCTCTAGGTCCTTTATTTTTTCACCAACTACCAGTATATACTATTATGTTGGCGTACATATACGTGTGTGTAAATTTCATTTTGGAGTAGAGTTTTGTTTTTGTGTGGACCCCAGGAAGAATAGTCCTTACGGTGAGGACTARTGGGGATCATAGACAGGCATCACGTTTGGATAGCAAATTGCCATGGAAAGCAAACGCTACAAGATCTTTGCACGAAAGAGTACACTTACTACGGAGCCCACGAGGGGACATGGGAGATTTTTTTTCTTTTGCGTTCTCATGCAATAGTATTGCGTTACCTCGCAATACCTTTTACGTTACCTCGCAATACCTTTTACGTTACCTCGCAAAAGTAGTTTGTCACTGTTGTGCCTGCCGGTTTATTAGCAAACTCACATGTTCACCATTAGCAAGTTAGCCTACTGCTTTAATTCAGCTTCAGAATGAATATATCACACAGCCACGAATGGAAGTATGTCATATGCCGATATTTTAACACAGTACATCCACGCAACATCAATGTCAATTTCACGAACTTGTGGCGACACATCCTGTTTTGGTAACCGGATATTTCAAAAATAAAAGTCTGATTTAATTCAGTTCATATACAAAACAATCTTTTGTGTGGGAACGCAAAACAAAATTGCATGGGAACGCAAAAGTATTGAGAGGGAATGCAAAAGTATTGCGTGGGAACACAAAAGGAAAAAAAATCCCCCCGTGTCACCTCGCGGGCTCCGTACACTTACACATATTTGGTGTTTCATTTTTCTTTAGCAGCTATACAAAAGCTTTTAGGCTTACTTCTTTAAATAAAAACTATAAATGAGAAGTTATAGGTTCCTTAGTTATGGTAGATGACTAGAAAATATAAAATGACTAATACTGTAATATACTACTACTACAGAATAATAACTAATTCATCCTTGACTTCTGTTTAGCAGAATCCACAAAGCCAGAGTCTCCATATGGGGTTTATAATGGTCAGCTGCGGAGTGCAGTGTACCAGCCAACAGAAATAGCCCTTATTTCCAGAGGTCTGACAATGGTGAGTCTAAAGATCTTTTGCATCACGTTTTTCAGCTTCAAGCCATCTGTAATATTCAGTGCTTCTTTCCACAGATGGACTCCAGTGTCATGATACCTCGAGCCGTAACCCCGTCTTTGAAAGCAGGGAGCCGCAGGAGCTCCCCGTCTCGTTCAGTCGAGTCTTCAACGTCTCAAGGACTGTCCTGAGTTCCACATCAGGGGAGAAAAAAAGGCATCAGGAGTTTATTAACAGACTTCTAAAATGTGCTCCATGTTTATTTTTTTGGATWTGCCTTCAGTAACATTTCTTTTTTTCTTAATTCAAACCAGGTTTTGTAGTGTTGTACATAGTTTGAAGCAAGCGGTGAAAATCACAGCTTCACACACCTGGTTAATCAGTACTGACAACCCTTCTTCTGTTGCTCTGACTGCTTTTAAATCTAAAGCGGCGCGACAAGAAAAAAATATCTAGATCACAACTGAACTATCTCCAGCATCAACATTCATAATTGTAACTCTTCATTCCTGATTGTAAAACAGTAAACCTGCTTTAAAGGGTTAATAATATTTAACTAAGTTTTAATATGCCTAATAATAACTGTACACACATACATCTAGTAAATTATTAATCTGCTTATTATGGCCTGATGCACTTAGTTGCTTTGTAAATGTTAGTTATGTTTTTTATTTATATTTGTAGTGTAAAAAAATCATGTGTCAAAAATAAATTGTAAATGTTAACATTTATTCAGTTCACTTTACTTCTGTGCCGTGAACACATAAATGTAAGAAGGTAGCTAATGTGATATACTGAAACATCAGTGGAACTTTTGCTGTGGCTTCAGCAGATATTTACATAATGTTAACCTGATAAGCCTCATATGATGCCACACGAGGATGCAGGCTGTCGCACTGCCTGCTCTAAGTTTTACAGGTAGGGAAATATGTAAAGCGGCACTGACATTTATACTGTCGTCAAGCTGCTGGGATAATATGAAACGTACCAAGACGCAGGACGAAAAATAAAACATGCTCATTTAAGTTTATAATATTCTAAATCAGGGGTGTCCAAACATTTTGTCACGTGGGCCACAACCATAAAGTCAGAAGGACTTGAGGGCCAAAGATATTTTTCCTTTAACTGCTCAACAATAAACTAAGCATTGAATACTTAAATTAAACAAATAAAGTAGTCAGATTTCATGCTGGAAATGGATGTGTAAATTATCCAGAAGTGTTTTGCAGGTTTCCCTTATTGAAAGAAATTTAGCAATTTTCTAGGTTTYAATTGGGGRAAAAAATAACCCAATTTAGTCAATTCTGATCAATAAAATCAGGATTTAGGTCAGGCTTTTTTTTTTGAAAATGCTCGCTGTATTCAAACGAATTTAATAAATTAATTAAAAGCAGATTGGAGCACAGCAAAATCAGCTTTTCAGTAGACGTCACTAGATAGATGTGGAAAAAGCTACAAGTCTGGTTATTTAAAGACAAACAATTGGTATTGTTGCCAATATTTGTTRTAAGATTTTATTTTGTGATAAATTTGCCCTAATAATAAACAGAAAGTCTCCATCCACATCAAACACCTGTTCCGGGGCGACAAATTTGTAAACAAATTAGTATCATTTTTGAACTGAAGTCAGGGGCCACACAAAAATCAGCTCAGGGGCCACAAATGGCCCCCGGGCCACACTTTGGACATCCCTGTTCTAAATGCACATAAGCTGCTAATAATGGGTTCATGTTTGGGGTGCAAATTTGAATAGAAAAAGCTTTAAACAAATTCGTACGCACACCTGCTTTGACTTGAAATGAGTTATGAGTTGTTCAAAGTTTGCAGCACGGGGGGAACACATTTGCTTAGAATTTGTTTTTCTTGCACTTGTCTGCGCGTGCACGCACACACGCACACACACACACACACACACTTAATAGCTTCACAGGGAGCTGCGGCTGCCTAGCAGCAAGCTGAGTCGGCTCCCCATTACTCCCACCTTGTACCGTCAGCAGCCGTGAGCACTTGCTTGAAAAATTTAATTGATCACAAACTGCAGTTCTGTTTGAGTAAGCAAGTGGACAAATGTTAAATTTTTTTTTAAATATTTTAATGTCTTCAGCTCATAGCATAAATATAAAATACAAACAGATCTTTTTCACAGTTTGACTCATAATCAAAGAACAGGTTTAATATAAGGAATCAAATTCATTTCCTTTAAAACAGTACTGTTGTTAGATTATTTCCTGCCTGAAATATCCAAATAACAGCTTGACAGAACCTAACAAATAAAGGTGTATTTATTTTATGCACAGCCTTTCACCGCTGCATGATTTTAAAACATTATCCCTTGATGGTTGATTATTAGAAACTTCACAGGATCTAAATGTTTGCTGGTGTTTTAGTTTAATAAGATGTTAATACCTGGTCAGTGACGCACTTTGAAATGAAAAGCAGCCCCGGCAGCAAATGTAACCTCCCTGAGTCTTACACATGAGCGACCGGTGGTGGATGGGCTCGGCTCAGGGGAGTGGGCGCTCCGGATYGCAAGCAGCTGTCTCTGCTCGGGACATTTCCTCATCACTGTGACAACAATCAGTTGACAAACACACATGAGGGAAAACAAAATGTCCAAACTGTTTAATTTGACTCACAAACCAGAGAAAACAACGTAACCTAGAAACACACTTAATCGGCTGATCGCTACTGAAAAGTAGCACGAATGAAATGTTTGTTTTTCCAAACAATGCATTTGTATTTGTTCTGAGATTAAGATTTAAACAAGTCTTATTTATAACAGCAAATCTTTGAAAGATTACAAACATAAAAATCTGCACAAAGCTGTCATAAGGACCTCACAATTAAAAAGCCTAACGTGATTTACTGTAAAACGTGTTCCGTGTCATCTGACTGAATACTTTCTTTTTTTTTTTTGTATTTAAACCAACAATACGATTAAATCTTTAATAGCAGCAACCAGGGGCTTCTTTCTACGTTTACTCATGACACTAAAATGTCCAGGAACATAGCCAGGTTCAAATTAACAAGTATAAACACACACAGGTGGATTGTAAATGCAAATAAGCACACACTTAGAACAGTACGGCACTGACTGAAGCTGTGTGCTTTTTGCAAGTTCATGTCCACACTTTTGCAACCTTGTTTAAAACAAATGTGATTATCAAAGTGTCACATAAACAATGTTTATTATTTATCGCATATTAACAGCCTGTGGATGCAAATACAACTTTAGTTCTCTGAAAAATGTCTGTATTGTGATAAGAATCCCACTTCAGGGTCATAATGTTACCGTCTGTGGGGATCATTTCTTCTGCAGTGCCTGATTTAAGAGGTTTTTTTTAATGTTAAGTTATAACCCGCTCAAGGTTTGAAACTTGCAGTCTTGGTTTGCTGCTGCTTCCGTTTCTTCAGCAGACGGTACGCCTCGACGACTCGCCGTCTCTCCTCCTCCACCAGTCGCTGTCTGGCCATGGAAGGTTTAGCTGCAGAGGCTGTGGTGTGGCCCAGCAGAGAGGTGAGAAGCAGCTCCTTTGATGCTCTCTGATGATAAGAGGCAGAAGATAAAACCCACGGTTAAACCGCTTATCTGGGCGTTAAAAAGCAGCGAGACAACAGGTGGTCGCTGCAGGGGAGAGTCACCTTATTTTTGACTGGAGCTTTTTTGGGTTTGGCACTTAGTGATGGTGGGGCCATGACAACTTCACCGAAAGGAACATTATCTATTGGAAAAAAAAAAACATTTCATGTTTCCAAATTTTGTCACAGAAAAGCAGCTGAACAAAACAGAAATACAATTTTCTATTACAACCTTGAAGAACAGGCAAAAATTTTTGGGTAATTAAAGCACATTTACTTACAACAACAGATAYGATTCTGAATAGCGTGTAAGAAGAATTGTTGCTAACGCTATCAGTCATTTAAAGGAGACAAGTCGTGCTTTTAAATCCTTCTTTTTAACATTTAAATCATTCAATTGGGGTCTAYATAAAGTGGAATTGAATTCCTCCTTATTGTAACTCCACAAGCCCATCTTCCACCCCTTTTCTAAGGTGTGTCTCAGATCAACTCGTTTTGAGGCTGCCTCTTCAAATCCAAAAGAGTGCCCCYCGTCCAGCTTCCAGAGCGGTCCATTCTAGTTTGATAGAGGGGTTTATGGCTATCTTKTGGCGCAGGAATGTTTTATTTACTAATTAATTTTAAGATGTCAACAATGGAAGACTTGTCCATCCAGACTTACATGTTGACAATTTGATCTTTTTTTTTTTTGCGCTCCTAAAGACTACAAGTACACAACAAAATGTATTTAATGGTTAAAAGATTAAAGGGTAAACATTACCAAAATGTGATAAAGTAGATGCATTCTCCAGAGTACTCACACATTCTTACCTACAAACATGTCTCTCTCTGTTTTGTCCTCTTTTCTGTCYAGCTTCTTCTGTTGCAGCTTGTTCTGTCTTGTTTTAGCGTACCTGCAGGTAAACATCAAACACAATTAACACAGTTCAAACCAAAATCAAAATTACAATTTATTTTACTGTGTCAGCACTACAATTCACGACACGGAGGTCAGCGTCTTGTAGTCCYGAGGCTGCAKGTTTGAGCCCAGGTCGGGCATCCAGTGAGAAACAACAACAAATGTAAATCACTGCAGACTCACTCCTTCTTTTTCTCAGACTTCTCCTTGCCTGCAGGCTTTTCCTGGTTGTCAGCGTCAAGCTCGGGCTTTCTGTCCACTTGGTTCTTTGAGAGGAAGAGGACATAGTTCGTCTCGTCCTCCATGCGTCTCACATAAGCACCTTCACTCTCATGTGATTTCCTACTGAACTGCAGGGCAGGTAGGTCTGCATCTGAAGCATCATATAGCTTTAAGTGAGAGGRGGAGGCTAGAAAGATAGAAAATAAACCAGGTTAGTCACTAGTTCCAATCAAAAACARTGCTTCATAGGCATCTGAAAAGTTTTCTGCTCACCCTTTCTAAGCTTTTTGGATCCCAAAGATCCAGCTTTCATTTTGTCTTTGCTCTTCATTATCTCTCGAAGTCTGAAAGGGATGTGTTCGAGATGGTCCTTCTCGTTCTTGGGTTTCCCATCTCTTTTCCGCGTCTTTTTACTGAAAAAAATGATCACACATAATTAAAAATATAAACGCTGGAAGGCAATCCATTGCAAACTTCCYTTTACAAGTTGCAATAAACTCATGTATGACTCACGGCTGACCAAAAACAGCTAATAGCTGAACCTACTAGCTAGCTAACTTAGCATTTTATGATTAAATGTTTGTTTCCCCACGTTACCTCAAATTCTGTCCGGCCTTTTCCTTTTGGTTATCTGCCTTGTCAATTTTATTCTTCCTTCGTTTCCCCATGACAGCTAAAAACATTCACAACCACAACACACGACACGTGGTACAACATGCAGAATTCAACTTCCGGACTTAAACTTTAGGTGAAAAAAAATAAGAGAAGACGTCTCACTCTGTTAGTTTTTCCGAGAGCTTAAGTGTAGAAAACATAATGGCGTTCACTGACGTCTGTCTTTATTCCCACCACAATTTTACAGATTTGAAGAAAAAAATCTGACAATTTTATTCAGAAACGTTTCTCGTAGTTAACCGGTCATTACGGATCAAACTGTTTTGTTGGAGTCAATTATCTACATTATAGACGATCTTTCATACGAGAAATACATTGACTCTAAAAGGTTTGTGACGCTTCAGTTTCACCGCTAGGTGGCAACAAAACACAATATTAGAGTTCAAAAATTATTTTGATCATGAAGAGTTGATGCTGGTAGGACAAGGGAAGAGGTAAAAATGCATTACAAAATGTTTAAAAATAAAAGTAGGAAAAACAGAATGACAAAATACAACATTAAACGAGCAARACATATAACAAATTATTGGATGCAGAAGTTCATTTAGCAGAGCACACACATGTGTAACATGTGTAACACTTAAACATGTTGAACACTAATAAAGTTTCACTGATTAGTATAAAATCAAAATTGTAGGGTTAGAATCAGACATTTGGCTGCAGCTAATCCGAGCTGAATGACTTTGGATAGGACTGGGTTGGTGCGACGAAGACTTGGAGGATTTCAACTTCTATCCTGATGAATCACTGGAGCACAATCTTTAGCCAGTCAAATATTTTAACCTCATGTGGAATTAATTATGCTTACAGTGAACCTGTAAAAGGTCTTTTTTAATTTAGCACAACAGACAGGTCTCCAGTGTGCATTATTTGACTTTCAAATCCCATTGCAATGTGATATATCCTCTTCTGATTTATAACACAGCTGTTTTTACTTAGCATGTGTTGAACACATCCTGTTATTTGAAGGTTTTTGCCTTTTATTATTCAGAAACTATTTGCTGCATGAATGCATCAAAGAAAGAGAGACATGATGTTATTGTCCTTGCATGCAGGCGATTGATTACAGATTACTGAGACAAGCTCCTCTCTACCATCRCATGCATGGATCGGATGTGTGTGTATTTGTGTGCAGCAGGATGGAATGGATTACCAGCATTAATGCAACTCAGTCTGCTAGACTGCTGACAAAAGGAGAATGTCCACCTATGACACACACTTTGTCAGCTGCAGGAGTTGTCTAACAGATTCAGGAGGGAAAATAGTGAGGTTTGAWGCACATCTTTAAAGAAAATAACACTGTTGTTTGCTTTTTGTTGCTTCTTYGGAAAACGCAAATGTAACTCTGGCGTTAATCCTTGCAGGACCGATGCAGGAGCAGAGAACTGATGTCCCCTCATGTCTTTCAAACTCCCTCATGAACACACAGTCCAAATAAAAATGATTGATACGTACAAGTGATGACAGCAGTTTATTGGCTCTTGATTGCATCATAATCTCCTCACAGAATAAAAGGCCTTCACTAATACGACTCATCAGCTGACAGAACACAACGAGGACAGACGAGTGCAGACGGTGAGTTTCTGACACAACACAATCATTTCTGCTTTTGACTGAGATGCACCTGTGCATATTGGATGCTTTGACCACTGTTTTATTCGTAAAATTCACATCATTCTGAAAGAGTGCTTTATTTTTTTAACCATTTCAAAGGAAGTTTGGAAAATAAAGTTAAGAGAAATTTGGTGGCCAAAAAGCAACCATTTGTTTTAAGGATTCATTATTAATATTATTATTTTATGTATTTTTCTGGTTTTTAGTCACCAGTTTCAGAAAAATATTTAAAAAATCAGACCAGTAAGCAGATAATAATTCCTCAGTTTTTTCTGTTTATTTAACTTTCATTCATCATGTCTGTACAATGCATGTTGCTGAAATAGCAGATTCTTTACTAACTGATTAATTTAGTCTTACAAAAGCAATTAGTGTTATATTGTAATATAGCTTTTTTTGTAGATGTAATTAAATAATTMCACCTTCATATTCAGCTTTGAGTGCATCAGATTATTTTAATAACATCACAAATGCTAGTGTTTAATCATATCTTTGTCTTTGTAGGATTTTCCTGTTTGAGAATAAAGTTTCATTTTGATGATCCTGGTGTTTTAGAGTAGTKCCAGATGCTTCTCTCTTCAAGAAAGTTTTTTGGGAGGTATCTTTATGTTAAACCCACAAGTGAATTCAGCATGTCCTGAGAGTAATCTGATTATGTTGAGGATTTGAAGATTAGAGGCATCGAGAGGAGATGATTAGAAACGTGAGCGTCGGATTAGATGTATCCGCAGCTCGTTTCTTAATTTGTTMGTGTTTGCAAGTACAGGTTAAATAATTAGCAATTCACACTTTTTTTTCCCCACAAAACTCAAAGAAACAGACATGCTGACTGATACCTGTTTGTTAAAYGGCATTGTCTTCATTTTAACATTATGAAAGTTTATTTTTTTATGACATCGTGACCAAAGAGAACTGAAGCATGAATCTACAAGTACCCAAACCTGAAGCAAAGACCGGCGGTAAAGCTCCTCTCCGAGCCACGGCRCCTGGTTCTCCACACAAGGGCCCCCCGAAGTTCAAACAGAGGAACACCCGTCAGTTCAAGAGCAAGCCTCCTAAGAGGGGGGTCATTGGGTAAGCTTCTCGCAAACACGCTTTCATGAATGTTGCAAAGGTTATCTGCAAAAAAAACATTCAAACCAAACTATTTCTACTCATTTAAAACCAATTGACTTTTATTGTTAGTTTTGGAGAGGAAATCCCAGGAATGGAAGGACTGGGTATTGGTAAGTACAACTTTAACATTCAGCCAGTCTTTCAAATCCTTTTTTTTAATTACTTTAATGGCTATTTTCTGATTTTCCTTTCAGACATCACAGTGATCTGCCCCTGGGAAGCATACAGCCATCTAGAGCTCCATGAGCTCGCTCAGTATGGCATCATTTAAACCTCCTTATTGTGAATCTTTTTTTTTTGTATTCAAAGGTAAATAAATGTAAAGCAGTAACCAACTCAGGCCACTTCTATGGCAAAGAGCTCACTAAAATGATCAATAATCTAAATACATGTCAGCATGTTGTGGATGGTGTCATTGGTCAATATGTAGGATATTTTGTTTGGTAAATCTATTTTCATGAYTCTTAAGCTGCCATTTTCATGTTCATGAACTCACGCTGAATGTGTGTTACTGCCGGAGGCTGCAGAGGGAGCTGGAACTAAAGATTTGGCCAGCAGGAGATTCTGCATAACTCTGTGTTTTTTATATTTAAAAAAAATCTGAATAAAGATTTGAATTTTTAAAAATTGTTTCAGGCTGTTTTTTTTAATCTTGCAAATTCTGCTGCAGAAGAACAACAGGAAGCAGAGACTGAAGGAACATGAGGCAAACCTCCATCCTCTAATCTTTTAAAGCTGATTTGATACATGGTTTTGTTCATTTAACATGTTTTATATCTGAGTTTTTCAAAATTGTGCCTGTGCTGGTTGCCTATTACTACCTGACCTCTTAGAAAGAGAAAACGTCCCAAACAGTAAATGTTTGTTTCATCATTCTTTAAAGCAAAGTTGAATTTAAGGTTTAAATGTTCTTGAGCCTTGATGTGACTAAWCAGCTTCAAATCCACCATATTTAATTCAAACAGCTCAGTTTTTATTCAGCTGCTAAGCTAACACAAAGCAATTTTTCAACATGTTTGTTTGTAGAAAAATACCTTCAAGGAGAGCAAGGTTACATGTGAGCACAATAAACAATATATTAAAGTAGAAACAAACAAAAAAATAGGATATAATAAAGGAACATGTCTTCAAAAATTCCCTTCATTGTCATTTGGGGATTTTTTTTCTTTCATCAAATGTATATTCTTTTGAAGCAGAAACTGTTAAAGTGTTGACTTGTGCAAATAAAGGATTCACATTGGGAAATAGTTATTCCCCCTTTTTACCCAAATGTTCTACTTAAAAAGGCAAATATTACAATTTTACCTTTTTAAACCCACTCTTATGTCAGGTGTTGTTCTAAAAAAATGCATATACCGTATCTGTTTAAGCTAAATTTAACTTAGAGTTATGAAGTGGTTAATTGGCTGGTCAAAGTTGTTACTAGAATAAGAGTCTGATTGGTTGTCCAGCTCATTGTGACCCATTGCTGGACTGGTGATCTGCCCATGCTGTACTTTTCCCCAATGAAAGCTAAAGACCTTATCTCCTCACAACCCTAAACAAGAACAAGCTGGTAAAAAATGCATGAAAAGTTCTGAACATTTAGTTTAAAAAGATAAGAACAGAAGAAAGAGGAACAAAAACAATTGGACACAGCATATTTTAAAAATGGTAGTTTTCATCRGTCCTGGCCAATTTGGCGCCCTTAGCAAGATTTCAGGTGGTGCCCCTCGTGCAGTTTTTCTAGATCTCACTGTTCATGTTAATGAGCAGCTGTGGAGGGAAGCAGTTCTAGGGGGGTCCAGGGGTCTACACCCCTGGCAGATTTTGTGTAATGCTGCGTTCCAGTTGTCCTCAGAAATTGTAGTTTCGCACTTCTGTGTCGTAATTTTTATCTTGAATGCTCCTTGATGTCATAATTTCGAGTGGAGAGGTCGGCGCAACATGACCAAACATGAGCACACATTACATCATGTCAACATGGCTGCTCCTCGCATCAACACAGAGTTAAACTCTTTACTTTTATGGTTTTTAGCAGCTCTGTGTTGATTACTTTACATTAAGTCAGTCGTACTTGTAGAACTTTATGGTGATTATTAGGAGATATAATGCTGTTTGTAAACTCAAAAKACCAWGTAGAGCACTWTWGTTGTAACAGTTTTTGTTGCAGAGCAAAAACAATAGAAACACTTTTTTTCCGACGTTCTGATGAGTTTGAAACTGGAACGCTTTCAACTCGAAACTGATGTCAGTCCGACTTTAGAGATTCGAGTTCCGCTACAACTGGAACACAGCATAAGATCCACTTAAAACTGTGTATTTTCCAGCCACTTGAAGAGCATTTTACGAAATTCTTGGGATTAATAAAACAACATGAAATCAGTATTTTATGAAGGTAGAACACTGAAAACTAGACTTTAACATGAATTTTATCTGAGATCAAAACTGAAACTTTCATTATCTTTATTTTGTTATCTATTTACACGCTAAGCACCAGGAGTTAGACTGTATCATATGATCATAAAACCTCCTCGGCACCTCATGCAGTAACATAGCAGGCTGAGAAACACGCAGAACAAGTTACCTTCATTCACTGGAGTAACCGGTGATTATTCCACAGAAGAAATCTACTAAACTCTGATAAAAAAGTATATATATTTTTTCATCCCACATTTGTAGCATCCCCTAGATGGACAGCACCCTTAGCATTTGCCTATAGTGCCTGTACATCACGGGCTAGCACTGTTTTTTTATGAATAAGTGTGATTTCCTTTTTTCCCCCTTAATAGTTTGTATTGAAATTTTCACTTTTTCTTTTTAAACATCTTGAAAGTCAAACTTAAAAACAATRAAAACAAGAACTCAAACAGCAGTGACTCATAACAGTACATCCTGCTGTGTTTCATCACTTTGTCTTATCCGTGAAATTTATGCCAGTTGATACTTTCCAGCAGGCGCATGGTGATGAACACAGCCAGAATCTCCACCCCGACCACAACCACTCCGACTGTCCCAATCAGGCCCTCGTGCTGCTTGATCCAGCGAGAGATTTCTCCCAGGCACCCGCCCARGAAGATCACGCTCTGGGCTGTGAACTCGTCCAGCCGCTGGGCTCCGACGCCGCACTGAGAGTTCCACACCGTGCCGTTCTCCAGGGGGTCGACGCAGCACGTCGCAGGRACGCCGCAGGCCAGCACGCCTGGAGCTGAGCAGTTGTAATATCTGAGGAGATCAAGCGAATTAAACGTTAATCTGTTTCATCCGATGCTTGATTTACGAAACGACTGTAAACCAGCTGTAAACTGGTTCRAGGACTACCTAGATAACAGACAGCAGTACGTAGACATCAGAGACATAACATCCACTACAACAAAAGTGATWTGCGGAGTCCCACAGGGTTCCATTCTCGGACCGTTACTATTCCTCATATATGTTAATGACATGTCTGCTGCTGTAAACTGCAAGCTGCTTTTATATGCAGACGACTCGGCTCTCCCAGCAGCTGGTAAGGACCATCASAACTTCACTCTATCCACGAATGGCTTGACAACAAGCTATCTCTTCATCTCGGAAAGACAGAAATAATTCTCTTTGGATCCAAAAGAAGGCTCAATGGTAAAGATCCACTGGACGTTAATTGTGATGGCCACCCCCTCTCCAGCAAACCAAGTGTTAAATGTGTGCTGGATGAATCACTCTCAGGCAGTCAAATAGCTGACACTGTCATCAGAAAATCCAATGCCAAACTTAAGTTTMTGTACAGGCAGACAAGACAATTTAACATTAAAACCAAAAAAATGCTGATTTCATCTCTCATATGAAGTCATTATGACTATGCATGTGCATTGTGATATACAGGCCTTCCCAAAAAAACTGAAAATTCAGCCACAGACTTCACAAAATAAAATTATCCGGTACCTCCTGAATACCAATCCTCATATATACAGTAGGTCACTCTGAGTTTGGTCAGGCTCAACTGCTTCCAGTTCACCTCTGAGTAAAACAACTGAAGCTAAATCACATACATAATAGCCTGCACAGTAACGTTCCCTCCTGTCTTAAGACCCTGGTCACTGTAAATGAAAAGTGCCACCACACCTGATCAAGCCCATTGTCTCTAGTTATCMCCACCTCAAAATCCTTTGGTCCGACTTCTTTCAGCTATTCTGGAGCCAAAGCATGGAATGATCTCCCAACACATATAGTCAATACACCGCATAGAGAATTTAAAATCAAAGGTAAATGATCTTCTAAACAGTCTCCGCAAAGAGGAGTTAAATCCCTTCACTACGCCCTCAAACTCATAAACTCATCTTCTCATATTCTCATCTGTTCTGTTGTGCCTGCATACCGTCCTGACTGTCAGAAACTCAATGACCTTTATCTCCATCACTGTACCTTGCTTTTCATCATTGTGTCTTTGTTCTCCCCCCCATATAACTCTGTCACTTAGTTTTTGGGCCACAATGGAAATCAGTGTTTCTCACTTTCTTGTGTTCTCCAAGTACTAATAATGAATGTACTAGATGTGTATGTACATACAATATTGTTGCTAAATAAAATCAATCAATCAATCAATGACACGAAACCCAGGCAGGCTCACTCACATGTTGACCTCCCAGTCTCGGTAGGTGTCCGCCCCGCAGCACTGCAGGCCCAGCTGAATCTCATCAGTGATGAACCTCAGGTCCAGGTCGTCCTGATAGCGCACCACGGCCGCCAGCAACCCCGAGCGCAGAAGGCCTTCGATCTGGTCTTGCGCGCTGTAGGCCACGATGGCGAACAGCACCTGAGCTGTGATGAGCACCAGCACCGTACCCGAGAACACCTTCAGTAAGCAGCTGTTCTCTCTTAAAGCACCAACGCACCCCGTCAGGCAGAGCACAGCCAGCAGGAGGCCCAGGGTCAAGAGTAGCAGCATGGGGTCAGTGCCGACGGTGCCGATCTTCTCCTGGGCAAACGATTCTTTGCTGATCAGGCCCCACATTCCCACACCGAGGACCACCAGGCCCAGARCCGTAAACACCAGGTTGCAGAAGAACAGGAAGTATTTTAGGAAATAGTCTGTCAGAGAGTAACTGAGGAGCTTTGAAAATGTAGAGTTTCTCTCTGTTTGGAATTCATTGGTGACAAGACCAAGCTCTTCATCCTCCGTTTTTGCAGCTCCTGACTGGAATCACACAGAAGAATAGGGATTCTCAGGAACATTAATAACTATTTTACCAGAAAAAAAGTTCTAAACAAAACTGAGTAAAACACTTACCTTTGGGATTAGTGGGCTGGTTTCATTCTCAGTGGTTTCTTTCTTCGACCACGGCCACGATAATGTCTTCGTTAGGAAATGTCTGCTCATCATTCTCAGTTCGTGGGAGACGATCCTCCCTGCTCTTTTAGCTCCGAGTGGCACGAGCTGAAACAAATCTTGGGGAGAATATCTGCAGCATGGAGAGACAGAAGTGAGTGTGTGGAGTCAGCCTGCTGTGTTCAGCCTCAGAGCGCTTCAAGGCCTGAGATTCTTTCATCATGTGAGAGTCACAGTGAGGGGATTAGATCAGACCTGAAACAAAAGGCTTTTGATGTGGGCTTACTTACAAAAGTTTACTGAAGTRAGAAGAGAGAATGGTCAAAGGCAATGTTTACTCTGTCCCATTCACTTTGTCCTGCAGTTGTTAATAATAAAAACTAATTTAATCATCTTTGTTGTTTAATCGTCTTCAAAAATGTCTGACTCTGAAATCTTAAAATCAGCGCATTAAAAACATGCATTTTCATATTTTACTAAAAGACACTGCCTTTTCAAACTTTGTGATATTACATTTTCTCTGATTAATCTTTTTTTTGATGGCCTCCCTTCTCCCCTTATAGCCATCCTCTCCACACCAATATTATGAATTTTTTTAATAGAAGAAAAAGAGGAAGAAAGAAAAAAAAGTGAAATGTAATGAGAAAGAGTGAAAAAGAGATTAGAAGATATGTAAAATATATGTTGAGAAAACACAAGACAGCACACC